GTTAATTTGTTCACCGAAAACCATTGACAAATATTTTTTGGTTCAGCATTAATTTTATGCTCTAGGTCCCCGATATTTTCAGCAGTAACTATAACAGCTGTATCATCAGCTTACATTAGCATTTCTGATGATGTTAGTATGTTTGGTAGATCATTTACCTACAATGAAAACAGCAATGGTCCGAGAATAGACCCTTGCGGTACCCATCAGTTTGTATTTAACAAGAAAAAGGCAAGATCACGCATGATGACCATTCGTTGCCAAAGTACGGCTGACTGTGTGAGTTGGTGCATGATAAAATGATATTGCTTTAACGCAGCTTAGTTTGAGCGTGAAGGAAAGATACTATGCAGTCAAGAAAAGAAAAAAACAGACCACAGTATGAGCGCAAATTTTCAACTTTTGTTTATTGTGTACCCTTACAACACATTATATAGCTCATTCCATGTGATGCCACACACGACAAAACCGTACCCTTGTGGCACAGCACACTATCAAAGAAACCTAGTTGTGATCCAATTTCAAGTGAACAATTCTATACAATGACAATTCAACGGGCCGATTTCCTTCCTACCGTCAAAACCCTTACATCGTGTTGCTCATCGCCGCTTTAGTTTACAAAGCTCATTCACTGGGCTTCTGTGTCCGCCGAAAAATTTTTCCTTGTGAAGTGGGCACGCTCTTTTGTGGCTTTGTCCCTTCTGCGGAGCACATGGCAAGGGTATGCAAGATCCTGAAATCGGAGCTTCACAGACAGGCAAGACTATATCGGCAACTTCTCTTCACGCGGTGACGCATAGAAATGAATCCCTCATCGTTGCACATAAACCTGTGCATGTTTTCACGCCTGATCGCCCAGAAGAGAGAAGTTGAGTGGCAGGTCTGCTTGAGACAGCTCAGAAGCCGTCTCCCTAAGAAAGTTCCCGAACGCCGCAACCGTGTGCACGTGATGGAGCAGGCTAACCTTCCAAGCTACATTCATGACGCCCTGTCATTGGGTCCCAAGTTCGCTGTGGAAACTAAGAGAAGACCCGAAGAACTGTTGACTTTCATGAGGCAACATGAAAGTCAACAGTTCTTCTCGGTTAAGCACGTTGCTGACTACCTGACGGACAATTCTCTATGTGTGCTACCAGCTGATAAGGAAGGTGGCTTCTGTGTGCTCCCTACGAGGTGTTTTGTGAAAAGGCAGCAGTGCCATTGCCAAAGTCTTCAAACGGTGCGATGACGTGTCACTAAGCAAGGTAAAGTCCTTAGCTATTAAGCTATGCAAGAACTTCAACCTTGTTTGATAATGACAGAAGTCATTATCAAACAGTAAAAAGAACCACCTGTTGGTTCAATTCAGCACAAAAACCCATAAAGTTGACGTTCCCTAAGGGTTATTGTGTCAGAATATGACTCCTGGCACAAGCCAGTAGCACTGTTTTTACAAGCCAAGCTTAAGTGTTCGTCCATAAAAGACCCCTTCTTGATAAAGAACTCGGATGAAATAATCAATTTTTTAGAAACTAACACTGACAAAGGTTACCAAGCATTTTTTATTGACATCAAAGATCTTTTTTACTTGATTCCTCATAAAGACCTGCTCGAAATAGTGGAACAGTCCATTGATGAATATGGGGCCATGAGGTTCCAGAATGACGCCTTGATATTTAGTAGTGATTATTTAGAGCTTTTACATTTTCATCTCGTGTCAACTTTTATCAATCGAGACGATGCTGTTTATCTACAGAAAATGGGGGTCACCGAAAAAAGTAATCACCGAAAAGAGATGAACACGACTGAAAAAAACAAGACCTCCAAAGAAAAACCCGAAGCGTCACGGCTGTCATTGCCTCTTTCGAAACAAAACAAGTGCTAAAAAAGAAAATTCTTCGCGTTTCGTGTTCTGCTCTCTCGCTGTCTCAGGTTTTTTGCGCCCATGCTTCCTGCTCCGCAACTCCCACTCTGCCTCGCTGACCTTGCCCTCCTGTGTTGCCCTCACCTCTGCGCTCGCTTGTAAACCTGCAGCGTCGGCGTTTTAACAAAAAGAAAGAAAGTCGCCCTTTAGTTTTTTTTTCTTCACATAGTTACGCGTCTTCTGAGAAGCAAGGCGTCTGTTCGCTTTGTCGTCTGCTTGCGTACCACTCCAGTGGTCGTGACGGATTTCAGAACATAAGTTCGTAGTACTGAGGTGTTAATATAACGTTGAACTAAATTAACACTCATTAATCTGAAAAGTTCGGTATTCTGAAGTATGTAGTAGTGAAATAAATTTACATTAAAACTATTAGCAGTCGGTGCGGGATTTTTAAAAGTTTGTTAATCTGAAAGTTCGTTAATGTGAGGTTCGTCCTACCGAGATTTTACTGTATAAGGTTCCTGCCTGCAAACACGTCAAGCCGTCTACAGCTGCTCGATGCAGGAATAATTTGAAATGTCAGACCCCATTTTAAAAGATTGCTTGTGTGGAAGCTTCTGGCGGAAATCGAGCACAGAGATGAGAACTTGTAGATTAGTCTGCTCGACTCGCTACATATCCTTGCCATGTCCTGGGACAACGTGACTCGGGACACGATCCTGAACTGTTTTCGCAAGTGGGGATTTTTTTGGAACAAGATGCAGCTTTGATGATAGATAACGAAGAGCCTCACTTTGATTTGCACATCGAGAGTTAACAAAACTCCAAAACTGAAACTTAGGTGCGAGATTTTGTCACCACGGACGATAATGTTGGGACCTGTGGGCTGCGATCTATCAAAAAATTTGTCGACGAGGCAAAGGTGACGGAGTCTGACAGTGATGGTGAAGACGCTGACATGTGTGACCTCCTGCTGTTGAGGTCGGAAAACAATCACGTTCCCAATGTTCTGCACCACACTGTAAGCGCCGGTAACATGAGTGAAAAAACCGTGGCAAGATTTTATTACATTCAGGCAGCTTTCTTGAGGAAGGTGAAGGCAGAAAAGTGCAAAAGAACATTATGGGCTTTTTCAGCAAGAAGTAGGTGATCACGATAAAGTTCTTGTTCATCTTCATGATCAGCTGTATCTTATTTTGGTTCATAGGAATTCGAGATGATACGAATATTTTGCGTGTTCTCTACAAATTCGTATCATCGATATTCTACTACATATACTGTACACATGTTGTCACTCATTTGAATGCTTGAGTAGGCAATGTTCAGGAAATTCACGGTTACCCAAATGATCCCTCTGCACTTTGCCCACTCATCATCATTCACATTGTGGACATGCAGAGACTTTTTTTATGCAGTAACTTTTGGGGGTCTTCGTGGGAGCAAATCAGTGCATGTAAAATGCGGTTTTTCACAAGAATGTGGGATCTGTGACCTCCAAGGGCCTATTTGTGGGTACCCGGTCACAGATTCGGGTCATCTCGGGCAATGAACACCGTCAATACTTGAAAAATGGCACCCCACATTAAAAAAACAAAAACAAATGGCAGTCTGAAAAATATACAGATATACAAAACCAATATATGCAATCTCACTGAAACTTTACACAAACTGAATTAGCGACACAACCGTCCTAATTAAATCAGAAAACTCTAGCCTTAGTTCAACTGGTGCTACACGCCGACCTATTGATGCGGCTGACTTGGCTTATTACCGAACTCCATTCTGTCGGCATACCTGTTCGATCATCTGTTGTAGCGCCTGATGTTGCTAAAGATCTCGATGTCGTCTCTGCAGCTCTGTGCATCAGTCATTGCCTGCGCAGGCAGGCTGTCGTCGCTGACGCAAGTAGATACTTGGCCCTTTTTGATCCCAACGCCATCATTGGCTCCTTTATCTGATGTGGTGTTCTGTCGCTGATGTAGCACTCCGGGCGTTGCCTTGGGTGGCTCACTTTCGAAGGAGGCTTGTGACTAGAACACTTGTACTTGCTGGCTGCGCTTGCTGCATCTTCTAGAAGCCTTTGCTCGAATGCTGTTGAGTTCGCCACCCAAACCTTGGTGCACCCGTGCCATCTGCTGCAGACCCAAATACCCATCGCTCCAGAAAATGCCAGTGGCTCCGATCTTCCTAAAGCTTTCTAAAATCTTCCACGCTTGTACTACTTTGAATGCTCGTTGCTGTCATTGTTTTCGAACCTCCTGGCTATTGTCATGGCATTTCTGTGCATTCACTGGTCTTCCATGTATCATGCCACCATCACAATCTGTAACTCTTAGAAGGTTTGCTTACAGTTCACCGGGTTTTCCGATATGCCAAACGAACAATGACAAAACATAACAAAATGACAAATGACAACAACTAGAACAAAAGTCAAAGCACCACGTAGCATACAATGCAACATAAAATGATAGGAATAACATATACAAGATCTGAGGGTGGCAGCTTGATTGAGACAACGATAAGGAGTGTCAGATACATCAAGAAAAAAAGGTAGATCTGGGCTGTCCACTTAGTGCATAACTAGACAACAGAATGGCTATTAAGCTATGTGAAATGCAGTCAAGGAAGGCAGAAAGTAGGATGAAAGAATAAAATTAAAATGTCCCTGACAGGATATGGTAAAATCGAGCTTATTTGGAGAGGCCTGTATCCAGCAGAGAACCAAAACAGGCCGAGGGTGATGGTGATGACTCTTAAAATGAATTTAAGTCAAAAGCCATCAGCTGTAGTTGTTTTACTGGCTCTCTATATCATGTGAATCCCATACCATTATGTGACCCATGCAAAAGAGTTGCATGCATGGTCGTGTGACTTTAGGAGGAGTCACACTAACATCACATTTTTCTTTGAACGTTTCTACTCGTACAAACACCACCATGATAAAGAGCCACAGGGCACATGGGTGGTCGTGTGAATTCTTGTACTCCACGGCAATTTTTCAGTCAAGGCCATGTTCACACAAGGTAAATAAAACCGTGATGACGATATTTAGAGGAATATTAGCTGCATTTTCATTTGCCAACATTTGATTTTTTGTGTGTTCAACTTACTTCAGGCTGAACTCTGATAATATGGGCACTTCCTGTGTGTTGCGCAGAGGTGCACAGCTGCCGAGGCGCCTGCCCTGGTGTCCTCGCCACCCATTGGCCTCACCAGCAGCACGCCTGTTGGCAGTGCACTGGTCAGCTGCCCTCCGCGACTGAGCATTGCACCAGCCAGCAGTCTGCCTGTCTCCAGTGCAGCAGCAGTGGATGTGCCTGCCAGCAGCAGTGGCCCAAAACCAGAAGGTAATCCTTTTGTGTAATGTACCAGCGCAATGGAGGAGATGCTTTGAGTGGTGTGTTTGAGAGGTTGGTACGTCTGCAGGAACCATCAGCCACACTTCGGCCAACATGGTGGATGGTATCGACCTGGAGGAGATCAAGCACTTTGCCAAAGCGTTCAAGCTGCGCCGTCTTAGTCTGGGCCTCACCCAGACACAAGTCGGCCTGGCCCTGACTTCCTCTGAGGGACCCTCCTACAGCCAGAGCGCAATTTGCAGGTGAGTGTGGGTACAATCACCAACCGCTCGCATCAGGGCAGCTAGTGGTGGCAGGATAACTCATTTAGAATGACAGAAGGTTCAGCTACCATGAATGGATGGATGCTATGAGCGTCCCTTTCATAACGGGGCAGTGACATGTGTGCCATCAGGCTTGCAAAAAAAAAAAAGAAATGAAAACTTTTTTTTATGTTGACCCAATGCTTATCTACTTCATTTAAATTGATCCTAATATAACAAAAATAATTTAAATTTATATTTTGTCTCTCTGCCTTTTCAGGCAGAATGACCTCATTTTGTCACTCTTTCTGTCCTTTATCTCTGCTTTTCTGACACCAATACACTAACTGTCTCTTACTTGCTTCTATCGCGGACGTATTTAGCTTGTTGTGTTTGCTCCTGAAACTCAAAGCCTCATGTAGGCTTGTACCCACACGTACACCTGGGTGAATATCGCCGCATCTAATGAGAACACGTTTCATTGTTTTCCTAACTCCCCCACAGCATGTACATTGTTCTTTTTTATTGAGTCTCGCTTTATGACTACGTGTTCTAAGGCAAACCGACCTCGTTTCAAACAGTAGAGTGCTTCCCCTTGAATTATGATTATATCTCTTCCTCCTTATTTCGTTTTGCCCTTTCGGTAGTTACTGAGAGCTGGCTTCTTTTCAATCGCTGTCATCCAATAAATAAGTGGCGTAGCCAAGGGGTTGGGGGGGTTCAAACCCTCCCCCCGAAATTTTTCGTCCACCCCCCCCCCCCCCCACCACCACCACTTACTCAACTTATTTTATTTTTCCTCGCTTCACGCTGACATGATTTTGAAACTAAGCGCTGCTACTATCACAATATCACTGCTGGGCACTTTGACAATTAATAATGTCTGCATACGAAAAAACATGTCGCGGCGTTTCTCAAGGCTTAACACTCTGTGAGATTTTGGGCAGGAATCTCGGCCGCGAGTGTTTTAAGTTGGCTCGACGACAGGATTAATGCTCAAGCGGTTCTCATACTTGTACCCTTCTGAACAGATCTCGCCAGAGTCAATCAGTGCGATAATTTTCAATAGGGAGAGGTTCATTTTAATGAAAATAGCCAAACACACTGCAGTTCCAAGGTCTGATAGGCCAGGTTTAAGCATATTATAGTGTGACTTCGTTCAAGTGCTAAGACATACTCAGGCCAAAGAATAACATTGCTATTGCACTTTCGAAGATCTAAACGCACGCACATGCGTGCAACAGAATATTCGGTTTATACACCAAACTTGGCTTGTATGCGAGTGTTCAATATATACCTTTATTATGCCTAAACATCTAAGACACTCAGAAGTGTTGTCTAGTGACGAAGGTGCAACACAGGCAAACGTGCAGGCTAATCACAGCCTTAGAAAGGCGGCACCTTTTTCGTCGCACCGCTATTGCTTTCGCCTAACCCATCGAAGACGTTGCTGAATGTTTTTCCGCCAAATCTATGAACAGCGGGCTACAATCGACAACGACAGGCATTTCTACGACTCTTGCAAAAGTAGACATCAATTTGAGCTTCACGCAGCAAGAACGGCCGCGGTGCAGGAACTGTTGCTTGAATTTGAAGAGTGTTTCGCTTCGTCCTCGAGAGTGCGTCAAACGCCCCCTAATGAAACACAGGATTATTACGCATACCGATGTCTCGCCTATAAAGCAACAACCCTACTGAGTTTCGGCCAAATAATGTGATGCGATCAATGCTCAAATCAAGGAAATGCTTCAAGGTGATGTTATACAGCCGTCCAATAGTCCGTGATCATCGCCAGTAGTTCCTGGGAAGAAAGAAGACGGAACGCTGCATTTCTGCGTGGACTACAGAAAGCTGAACAACGTGACTAAAAAAGACGTGTATTCTCTGCCATGCATCGATGATTCAGTAGACAGACTACGGCGAGCAAGGTATTTTTCATCCATAGACTTGAAAAGCGGATACTGGCAGATTGAGATTGATGAAAGAGACCGAGAAAAAAACTGCTTTTGTTACACCAGATGGCCTGTATGAATTCAAGGTGCTCCCCTTCGGCCTGTGTTCTGCACCAGCTACATTCCGAAGAATGATGGACACTGTTCTTACCGGTCTGAAATGTAATGCCTAGTTCACACTGAGAGATCCGCTTTTTACAGCGACCGAAATTCTCCTGCCGCCGAAACGCAGCGTTGTTCGCACTGGACGCACCCCGCGCCGCCGAATATGCCATCTACTATGGGGCGAACGCGGGATGGATGTGCTGTCACCCGGTTGTTGTCGCGGCTCGCAAACGCTACTACGATATCCGGTGGTGTATACTTCGACGATTCTCGTACGCAAGAAGCAAGAAAAGACAGTACTGCTTACTTTGCTGGCAAGTGGCTGTCTTGTAATGCACGAAGAGCAGAAAAACCACCGACGCCAGCGGCGTGGGTGGGTTCGTTTTGCTCTGCAAGACCACAACAAGCTCGGTCACGCCAACAGCAAGCTCGGTCACCTCTTTCACGAAGTAGGGACGCGAAGTAGGCACAGAGTAGGTTAAACTCCCGTTGGTTTCAACATTCAGTTACGTGCACTGCGGCAAAACAAGTGAGTAGGGCTTGGCCGCCATTTTTCAAAATTCCTTGACTAGCGCTCCTATTGGTCCGCGGTGACCGATGGCAGACGCCGCAAAAATCGGTCCGAGAGCGACCGGCGCGGAGAAGGCCCTTTCGGCGGATCTCGCCGCCGCCGAACCGGATTCGGAGCACTTTCGGCGGCCGGAATGCTCAGTGTGAACGTGGCCTAACACCTGTAACACCTGCCTAGTTTATCTCAATGATGTCGTCGTGTTTTCGGTCACCTTTGAGGAACAGTTGAAGCGTCTGCAGGCTGTTTTGGGAGCGCTCCGCTCTATGAATCTCTTGTTGAAGCCAAAAAAATGCTACTTTGGCTATAAAAACCTTAAATTTCTTGGCCATGTTGTGAGCGCTAACGGTGTTCAGCCTGACCCCGACAAGACAACCACCGTAGCCTCCTTTCCCATTCTCTGTGACAGGAACGCAGTACGTCGCTTCTTCACCCTGTGCGCCTACTATCGTCGCTTTACCTCCAATTTTTCAAAAATTGCTGAGCCTCTGACTCGCCTCACACGTGACAACGTACCATTCGTTTGGAACGCGGAACAGAACGCATCTTTTATCGATCTATGTGAACGTATGCAGGCACCACCAGTTCTTGCTCACTTCGACGAAGATGCTGCCACTCATGCGAGCAATGTAGGCCTCAGCGCCGTGCTTATCCAACATCAAGAAGGCACCGAGTGTGTTATAGCTTATGCTATCCGTACCCTATCTCGCGTCGAGATGAACTATTCCACCTCGGGAGAAGGAGTGCCTAGCAGTAGTGTGGGCCACCATGAAATTCAGGCCTTACCTCTACGGTCGTCACTTCAAAGTAGTGACTGATCATCACTCAATTTGCTGGTTAGCCAATTTACGAGACCCGTCTCGGCGTCTGGCACGATGGAGTCTTCGTTCGCAAGAATTTGACCTTCATCATCATCATCAGCCTGGCTACGTCCACTGCAGGACAAAGACGTCTCCCATGTTCCGCCAGTTAACCCGGTCCTGTGCTTGCTGCTGCCAATTTATACCCCCAAACTTCTTAATCTCATCTGCCCACCTAACCTTCTGTCTCCCTCTAACCCGCTTCCCTTCTCTGGGAATCCAGTCAGTTACCCTTAATGACCAGCGGTTATCCTGTCTACGCGCTACATGCCCTGCCCATGTCCATTTCTTCTTCTTGATTTCAGTTATGATATCCTTAACCCCCGTTTGTTCCCTAATCCACTCTGCTCTCTTGTCTCTTAAGGTTACACCTACCATTTTTCTTTTCATTGCTCGCTGCATCGTCCTCAATTTAAGCTGAACCCTCTTTGTAAGTCTCCAGGTTTCTGCTCTGTAGCTAAGTACCGGCAAGATACAGCTGTTATATACCTTCCTCTTGAGGGATAGTGGCAAACTACCTGTGATAATTTGAGAGTGCTTGCCGAATGTGCTCCACCCCATTCTTATTCTTCTAGTTACTTCAATCTCGTGGTTCGGCTCTGCGGTTATTACCTGCCCTAAGTAGACATAGTCTTTTACAACTTCAAGTGCACTATTACCTATCTCGAAGCGCTGCTCCTTGCCGAGGTTGTTGTACATTACTTTCGTTTTCTGCAGATTAATTTTAAGACCCACCTTTCTGCTCTCCTTGTCTAACTCCGTAATCATGAGTTGCAATTCGTCCCCCGAGTTACTCAGCAATGCAATGTCATCGGCGAAGCGCAGGTTACTAAGGTATTCTCCATTGACTCTTATCCCTAACTGTTCCCATTCTAGGCTTCTGAAAACCTCCTGTAAGCACGCGGTAAATAGCATTGGGGAAATTGTGTCCCCCTGCCTTACACCCTTCTTGATTGGTATTCTGTTGCTTTCTTTATGAAGCACTATGGTAGCAGTTGATCCCCTGTAGATTTCTTCCAGAATGTTTATATATACTTCATCTACGCCCTGATTACGCAGTGTTTGCATGACGGCTGATATTTCTACTGAATCAAACGCCTTCTCGTAATCTATGAAGGCTATGTATAGGGGTTGGTTATACTCTGAGCATTTCTCTATTACCTGATTGATAGTATGAATGTGGTCAATTGTTGAGTAGCCTGTTCGAAATCCTGCTTGTTCTTTTGGTTGATTGAATTCTAATGTTTTCTTTACTCTGTTAGCAATTACCTTTGTAAATAGCTTGTATACTACAGAGAGCAAGCTGATCGGCCTGTAATTCTTCAAGTCCTTGTCATCTCCTTTCTTATGTATTAAGATGATGTTAGCGTTCTTCCAAGACTCTGGTACTCTTCCCGTCAGGAGACACCTCGTAAACAGGGTGGCTAGTTTTTCTAACACAATCTGTCCTCCATTTTTCAGCAGATCTGATGTTACCTGATCCTCACCAGCAGCCTTGCCCCTTTGCATGCTCTC